CTAAGCTCTACCTCTACATCTTCATAAATGACAGATGTTAAGAGTATAGAAATTTGACAGAAAATAAACTTCCTTGCTTTCCAACTAGTCCTCAGAGATCAGAGGGGCTGGGTGTGGCCAGGTTTAATTTCTGACTATAACTAGTTCGGCACTGTAAGTCTGGTTGCAGTCAGTAAGATCCCAGTTGCACATAGTGTGGGTTACACTGTATATCTTGGTCTCACTCATGATCACAGATTCACTAATAGTGCAGTTTATTGGAGCAGCAGGTCATATATTTTGTGGCAATCTAACAAGAATCTAAGTGGATGGCACTATGCACAAAGTGTTCACGGGTATGCTCCGATCCAGGTGGAGGTGCAAATCTTAGCGAAGAGGTGTCTCCACTTTGGGGAGGAGAGAGGAGCAAGCCCATCAACTTGCCTGCATGGCAGTCATATTTTCATCCTGTGCCATAAAGGATTTCAAATGCCAATTTATACTTTTGGGAGAAGCGAAGGTGAAACTGCAGTCAAATATCCTGTTACTACCATCATAAATGGTGGGGTGGGGCAGCCACTTTGTATGTAAAAGAGGGATATCTAGAGTTGCAAAGAGGGAGACTAGGAAGGTTGTGGGTCTTGCCCAAGGGTGGAACATGTTAGTGGCACTCCCTCTTCCACCTGGCCAATTGCTGTGATAAAGTTAAGGGTAATCCAGCCTCTGCCTGATAGCCTATCACCTCCACCATGCCCAAGGCAATCCCTCCACCACATGTCATGGCAATCCCTTTATCACATATCTCACAGTGTATCTTGTGGCTGTAGGCCTCATTCCTACATGTGGCTACTCACTGTAGCTTAGCTCTGATTTTGTTTTGCTCTATTTTAAAGACTATAGGAAGAGTTGTACAACAATTTGCCTTTAAAGGACCAAGAAGAATCAAGACCAGAATCTATTAAATCTAAAGAAGAATTAACTCTGTGACAGGACTTTTTGACACCAAAATAACCAAGAACTCAATGAACATCCCTATCCCCCACTACTTTGAAGCAGATTAACTTAAGTCCTGTCAGTCATTTACAACGTATAACCATGCAGATGCTTTTTGTAATTCACAACCCACATGAAGAAGGGGCCTGTTTAGCTCTTCAACAGCAGCTGGGCAGTAAGTCTCCCTGGACTTGAAATTTCAACTAATTGAAATACACCAACCCTCTCTCACAAAACATTTCTACAAGAGAGACAGGATTCCTCCTATCCAGCAGGCTCATCTACAGTGTTTAAAACTGCCTCCTCTGCATCCCTCTGAATCTGCATTCCCCAGGTCTCGATCACAGCTCTACTGTTATTTCCTGGCTATATGGTGTACAATGCTTTAAAGCAGCTTCTTTTTAATTTCAGATGGTAAGGCAGATGGAGGAGAAAAGGCACAGGAGTATTTTGAGAAAAAGGGACATAATTGTAAGTCTAAATTAATTTGCAAAAACTATCACATCCTAAACAAATAATACACATAGAAAAGCACGATACAATTCAGGAAACAGTATTTAATCTAAGTTTAAAAAAGAGCACCAAATGCTTCTGGAAGTGAACATCATTTTGCTAACACTGGTTATGCTACACAATTTAAAGAGTTTCAAGTCTTGTTTTGCAAGGACTCCTACAGTCATTTAACATTCTATCTTCCTCTGATCTTAAAAAGTCCAAGCTGAAACATCAGCAAAAATGTTTTACAATTTGGTAAAAGTCTGTTTCACAAAACTCAGAGTCAAGAGACATAAATTTACTATTTGTAAACATTTTAGCTAGCTTCCTAATTAACTCAAATTGATATTAGAGTTAAGAAGTGAAATTTCTCCAGTACCACAAATCTCGGTTTACCCACTGATTAAACGAGTTAAGAAGTGAAATTTCTCCAGTACTACAAATCTCGGTTTACGCACTGATTAAATAGGACAAAGGATAGCACATAGCACAAAGGAAATCCACTCTTATCTGAGGCCAGAAAGAGGAAAGCAGACTGTTCAGAATGTAGACTCCTTTTGCATTGATTCTTATAGCCCCAAATATGTCCCAACAGCTCCACCCTTAGGGGGCTGCAGAAACAGAAATTTTGGAAGTCTGGTCCCTTAGGCACTCAGCTTCAAGGTCAGAATAGAAAATTTATTTTGAAACAGCTACCATGTCGATATAATCACTTTATCTAATATTCCATACACAAAGCTATAAAATTATCAGGAAAACCTGACTGTATCCTAAACATGCTTCCTAATTGTCTGTAAAAAAATGAAATGGCTGTTTACCACAGTTTATGTCCAGAATTAGAAAAACAGTTTAGGTTAATTTTTAACCTAAAAATTAAGAACTTGAATTAAGAAGAAATGCATGACAATACTACTATCATATTACCATAATTAATAAATGTATCACATTCTGAATCTCCTTTGTAAGATATGAAACCAAACTATTTACAAGAACTGTTTTTCTCTGCCCCTTCAGCAAAGTGATGTAGCACCAAGTAGATCTGATAAATGATCTGATCTTTCTTCAGTCTCCCCTTCCTAATTTTTTGCCATACTCAGAGCACTACTTTCAAATCTGCCTATGCTTCAGCTGCTCAGGTTTGCATTTCTGACATAGCCATACTATGTTTTACTTCTATTAAATGGACATATCTAACTTTGAGACAGTTCATTGTCACACAATAGTGACAACTCAGATTTCAAAGTGGCATTTTGTATTAACATTGCATATAAATTGCAGATAGAAACATGAACTGAAAAATTCTTTTAGGAAGGGAAATGAAACTCTTTGGTGAGCATAGAGACAATGCATGGAATCTGTTTCTTTGCATTAAAATCTTGCCGAGTTGAGCAGGACTCATACTCTGCCACTCTGCGATTTACACGAGTTAAAATCTGCATGAGCTCAAGCTTCCTTGCATGTTCCCTCAGCATCTTGCACAGTGACTGAATAAACCAGGAGCCTTCAGCCGAATTCCTCCAGGAATAATAGCCTGTGGAAGAGAGCAATGTCAAAGTGATCAGATGTAGCAGCCTTTGATACAGGGCAGGTTAGCAGTTAGGGGAGCAATGTGTTGTTTCCAATAGGAATCGATGTTTTAAAATAAAACCCAAAACCACCAACCACCAAAATTTAGATCTGATAATCACCCCAAATTCCAACCCAAAAGGTTTTTCTAATCCTTTCATCTTTTATAATCTAAGAGATCTTTAGGTAGAAAATCAAAAGTCAGTAAACTTATCTTCTGCTGCAACAATCCTAGCCATTAACCACTTACTACTTCTTCACAGAGCACATGAATACAAAGGAGAGGTGACAGTACAGATAGATCCAAGATGCAAAATGGATTTCAGTGTCACTATCTTCAGGATTATGTGCATGAATTCAAGACTGAAACCTACTGCTAACTGGTAACATACAGACCACACTAAAGGCTCTGCCACTACTCATTTTGCTTAAGGATGCAATGCAAGTAGAGTTGACAGGCAAATAATATTTTGCTGTTTATAATCCACTTCTGTATATCTGATTTTTTTGTTTTCCTCAGAATAATACCTTTTCTTCCTGTTGTAAATTATTTGCACAACACTGACTAACAGAATTTTCAGCAGATGAACATTTGAGGCTTTGCTAGTGAGAAAGATGTACATTCAGGATTTGGGGGGGGTGTTGTAGGAACTGAGAACAGCAACTATCTCAAAAAGAAATCAAATCAGGATAGAAGAAGCAACTGAGGGAAGAAAATTCATACTGCCATGAAAGAGCACATTGGGTCTGGCTGAGATGGGAGTTCCTTTTCCCCACAGCAGCACCCACAGTGCTGTGCTTTGCATCAGTAGCTAGAAAGGTGTTGGTAACACACCTGTGTTTTGGCTACTGCCGAGCAGTGCTGACACAGCATCAGCACTGTTTCGCCAACATCCCCCCCCAGCACCATCAGTAGGCTGGGGGTGGACAAAATCTTGGGAGAGGACACAACTGGGACAGCTAATTCTAACTGACCAAAGGGATATTCCATACAGGTGAAGTCACCCGCTGACTTGGTACAACTGCAAATTTACAGTACCAATACAGGCTGACATACAGATATAATTTCAGGAAACAAAATTCTTTGCAAGTCTCTCACCTGGAGCAGTAGAATATGCATAAAGGAAATCTGCTTCCACAGGTATTTTTTGACATGTTGTTCCTCCTGATCCACTGTCTGTCTCAATACCAGAATCTAATTCTGTCCCTCTGCAAGCCTGTTTGGGGGAAGGAAAATAAAATTAACAATAAAGAAAAAAAGGCAGTGATCATGATCAGAATATTGGGGGTTTGTGTTTTAAAGATGATAATATCCTAACAAAATAAACTGCAAAAATAACAAGAATTTCTGTGTCACATCTCCATTAGACAGATTCAGAAGAAAAGTAGCTAGCATTTATTTTAATCAACTACAGTTTGGATAAGATAGGTGTTAACTCAAAACTGTATTCAGAAACTCATTCAAATATTGGCTAAGATTTTACTTAATCGATAGAATTAAGGTAATGCAATATCAGCTATTGCAAATGCTGCCTACCTAAATTAGGGCAGATTGTGCCACTTTTAGACCCAAAGAGAATATCATTCTGAAAGTAATACAACTTAAATCAATTTTAGAAAGAATCAACTTCTTTTGCACAAATAACTAGTGGGAAACAATTTTTTTATAAAGTATCTGGCTGATTTGATGATCAGTGTTCAGCTATACATCACCTGAATGAAGAAGAGCTTGGGTTTTCCTGCTAAGCTTCTGCACCTGTCACCTCTGAAAAGGCTTGTTAGTGCTCTCAGTTCAAGAGGGCCATCTGTACCATAGATTAATCCTTCCTCACCATGGCTTAGCAACACACAAACAAAACTGCTTCGCTTGCTGTGATCTTCTTCAGAAACTTGAAAGAGAAAAGAGAATTATCTTAACTTCCTGCACTCCCTGGCAGTTTTGAAAATTTGATCCTTCCTATGTGACAGAAGTCTTTAAGAACTAATTCCCATGTTTAGAAACCTCAAACCAGTTTTGACTTCTGAACAAAAGAAGACTGCCTACTTTACTTCAGGGGGTTGGACACTGAAAACCCCAGATTATTGGCCCACCCTTCCCATTCCAAGACATGGTCACAAAACTAGACCAGGAATACTGTAAGGAGACAAAGAGGGTGTTCCCACAGTGCCTCAAAGCCTAAGTGATACACCTCACTCATGCAGTAATCTGGGATTGGACTGATAGAAAGTTCTAAGTTTTGGGAAAGGATGGAGATGTCCTACTTCTCTTTCCAATCAGAGGTACTTCAACTACTTGGATTACATGGGAACTGAATGTACCTGCTCCTGCAGGGACCTAAGTACTAGCAGTACCCTACTCCTCTCCTCCTATCACTTTGGACCTGTAGTGAGGTCTAGAAAGATTCTTCAAGCCTCTAAGTAAAAAATTAAGATATTTAAGCTTGATATAAAGTGTTCACAGATTTATAGTTTTTCCCCCCTCCGTCTTGTAGTATACAAAGAACATAGAACAAATATTCTCTGATGTCTTTTGTTACCTGACATTGTGGGAATTGTACTTGAGAACCAGGATGATTTGTTTAAATTTATGAAAAGATACAAACATGGTTTAAAAGAAAGGATCCAAAAGGAATTCTGAGTGGTAACTCAAGAAGATGCAAGAGTTTGTAGATTAAATATTTAACAGTCCCTGAAGCTGAAGTCTTACTGTTTAGTGCTTACCAAAACACTGAATTTCTATTCTCAAAAAAATGAACTATTTAGTTTTTCCTCAAGCAATGCACAATCAGGCATTTCCACAATCTGTGGGCAAGCCCTGCATATAGATGAGTCACATTCAGCTACCGTCAATGGACTGGCTACAACTATGCTAATAAATTAACCATGTCTGGGAACATTCTCTGGCATAAACATTAACTGGCACTAAAGAACTTATATCTATGTCAGCAAACACTTCCATCAAAAAACAAAACAACACCAAAAAAACCAAGACCAGGACTGCTGCAGGCTAACTGGCTGTTTAGAATAATCACTAGAACATTTTTACTGTTGAACTGTGACCTGAACAGTCTGGGAGAGCACTAGTAGACATGAGTCACAGTCATAGCAGAGAACCTTCCAACAGTTAACCAGAACAGACTGTGTTGCAGGGCTACTGTTACCTCCAGGCACCACTGAATCTAAGGGTCTAGATGCAGCCAAGCTCAAACAAAGCAGGACTAACACAGTAGTATAAAGTTCTCACTTGAGAGAAGGGAGAGAAGGGTGTTTTGTTTCACAAGTTAAACAAAACATGAGTTGTTTCTCTAAAAGAGTAATTCATTCCACACACCTGCAGTTCTGGTCCCTCGATCAGAATCTCTCTTGGGCCACACCACTAAGCATGTAGGCACAGACCCCCTTTACCCAATCAAGCAGGTTTCTTTCCAACTCACAGAGCTTCAGTGATCCCAGGGTCAGAATATAAATCAGTCTGCATTTAAGTTTCAGCCTTTTTTCCAGCCTTCTTTAGAAGATGAAAAAGGATAGGGAGACAACAGTCATGGCACAAAAGATGGAGAGACAGCAAAGATGAATACACATAGAAACTATGATGTACACGTCATCCTGAGCAATGAACCACCAGAAAATATCACCAGAAATATCATCTAAAAGAACTAGGAAGAAGAGATGTGAGGGCCAGAGAGGTATTTGGAAACAGAGGCTGATTAAATACACACACTGGACATATTACTTACCCTTTTTCAATAGTTCAAATATATCCCCACATGAAAGATCATTGTTGATCTTTATCTTATATCCCAACTTCATAAAAACATCTCTGACATTTGCAGCATCTGCATCTGTACCCGAACGGGGCAGCATCCCTACACAGAAAAGAAATGTGTTACTTTTTATAGGATATAGATAGCATGGTCTGAATGAGCCAAATTCTTTTCTCACTTATACCTGAATCACTCTAAATATTATTCCATAATTATTCCAGATCCACTCCTAACAGAAAACAACACTGCAGTGTTATATATGCACACCATCTCCCTCTCTCTGTATAGCAGATTTATCTACATCTAATTTTTATATGTACCTGTCTATATAAGGACATAAAAAGAATTTTATTTGCAAATCAGAAATCATGACTAAAAGGTAAGACACTGCCCATCAATTTTTCTCCCCATTACTGCTATACCCTCACATGTTCCCTCTCTGCATATTTGGAAGAACACTGAAGTGAATCACACCCATTCAAATGACTTAATTTTAGAGTGCAATCAAAATTGCTCTGCATTTTTAATTTTGAATAACACATGGCACTGATTTATCCAAATTAAGGGAAAGAAATTAAAATGTGAAAATTGTACCAGTATGTTTGTGGAAATTCTTATTGTTTATTATTACACATTCCCCCATCTCTGGATAATCCATTCTGTAACTGTAGTCTGGCAGAATTCCAAAGTCCATAGACTTGCTAGCAGGCAGGTTCTTTCTATATTGAAAGACAAAGTTTAGGTGTTAATTTCGGATCTTATCTATTTTCAAAATAATGATAAGAATAATAGGCTATTTTAGCAAACTCCCCAAAAAAATGGTAAGGTTTGTTACTTGTTCCCTAGAAGGTCCCTCAGCAAGTTACTGATGACACCAACCTGAGTGGCTGTGGTTGATGCTCTAAAGGGAAGGGATGTCAGCTGGGCTTGAGAGGTGGGCCCAGGAGAACCTCAGGAAGTTCAACAAGGCTGAGTGTAAGGTCATGCATGTGGGTCAGGGCAAGCCTAAACGTGGATACAGGCTAGGAGATGAGTGCATTGAGAGCAGCCCTGAGGAGAAGAACTGGGGGGTACCAGTGGATGAAAAACTGAAAGAGCTGTTTTGAATGCAACCCAGAAAGCAAATGGCATCCTGGGCTGCATCAGAAGCAGCATGGCCAGCAGACTGAGGGAGGTGATTCTGCCCCTCACTCCGCTGTCATGAAATCCCACATGGAGTATTGCATCCAGCTCTGGGGCCCCCTAAGATGGACATGGACCTGTTGGAGTGAGTCCAGAGGAAGGTGATGAAAATAATCAAGGGGCTGGAGCACCTTTCCCGTGAGGACAGGCTGAGATAGCTGGGGTTGTTCAGCTTGAAGAGAAGGCTCTGGGGAGACCTTTTAGTGGCCTTTCAGTACCTAAAGGGGACCAGCAGGAAATATAGGAGGGGTTTTTGAAAACTTCATAAAAAGCCCAAACTGATTTCCTGTTGATATAATTATTGCCACCCTTAAACTATCATCTTTTGAAAGCTATTTACCTTGATTAAAGGTTAGCTCTGAAACTACAAATCTGTCTTGAATGCTAACCAAAAGTCATATTACCATGGAATTTTCACAAGTAAACATTCAAAACCTAGAAAGATGTGGCAGATGTGGCCTCCTTTTCTGCTTAAGCAACAGCCATAAGTAGTAGTCATGATGGCTGCATCTGGATTAAGTTGGACTTTGAGGAGACGGATAACAACACAATAATTAAGGGCCATAAATCTTGCTCAGCAACTGAGGGCTAGCTGAGCAGGCACCAACTGAAACGCAGCTGGTAGGCAAATACGTCTGCAAGTCAATTATCTTCCTCCATAAATAGCACAAAGCCCAGGGCCCACTGAGCTCTGCTGCACACCAGGAGCTCCCCTTGAGCAGGGATGCCTCTCAAGGTTGCTCCTGGAGGCTAAGAGATTCCTTGCCACAAAAGGTTCTTGGTAAGGGATTGATAGCATGTTAGAAATCTTAGCTAAGGGATATAAAGGATTGACTGTGCACATATCATCCTTTAGACATAAACCACTGACCAAGTCTGGGACTAAGTCTGGATGCAGCTGCACCCAGACCCCTCCCTAAGAAGGAGTTTAGAACACAAGGGAGTCCTTTCTGAACCTCGTGACTCAATTGGAGGGTCTCCCTGGCAGTTTTGTCTGACCGTGTATCTTGCTACAGAATCTTGTTAAACCACTGTCACATCTACTATCAAACTTTGTTAAGTCACCACGTGTATCTTGCTACAGAATCTTGTTAACCCACTGTCTACTATCAAACTTTGTTAAGTCACCGTTTTATATCAATAAACATATTGCTACTTCTCTCTTATGAGTGAAGTGCATCACTCCATCCATGACAAAAGACCAAGACTCTATATGCAGCTGTAATTCTGCCCTAATGAACACACCAACTGTCTTATTACTCATGACTCTGCAACAGCTACCAATTTGTGGGAGAATTTCTGATTGCTAACGGACATGTGAGCAATCCAGCCCTGCTAGCAGGGCCTGAGCAAGCTGCAAGCCAAGCTGTTCAAGGACACTGCTGCGGCTGGAATGCAAGGAAGAAGGTAGTGAGATAAGCAGCTCCTGGGTGTGGGATGCAGGAGCTGAAGATGGTTAGAGGTGGAGAACAATGACTGGGGCATTTTATGATTGATATGTTAATAACCAATTATGTTGTGTATAAGGTGGGCTAGTAATAGTTGTTAACCAATGGTGAGTGGGCACTTATAATAGATAGGTATATAAGAATCACTTAGATAAACAATAAAGGACTTTTTGCACATGATTAATGGTGGCTGCCTCTTTGTACGCTAACTCCCACACAAATTTTACTCAGTCTGCAGATACTGAAGTTCGTATGGATTTCCTCATTTGAGCACAAGTAAGTGGTTACAAAACTGAGGCCTGCTATCATATTTATTCTACAAATTAAAAGCCGGCAATGCTCTTAAATCTAATTTTAATTGAAATATTAAAAGTAATTACTTCATAACCAAATCAAGTTCCCAGAGAAAGGGTAATATGATGATAGTGCTAGACCACTGTAACAACTAGCTGGCACCAGGAAGAACAGACCTGTGTTTCCTCCCTTCCATCCCATAAGTTTCTCTTGCATTTCTGCTTCCACACATACAACCCTATAGCAGGTCAGCCCAAGCAGCTGAGCTGTCTGCCACAGGTTCAGGTCAGTTCTAGATGCAGTTCAAGGCAAGGGGTGAGTATTTAGCCTAGGGTGAGACACAAATGTCTCTTTTCAAGAAGAACTAACCACTCAATAATACTGTTAAGCCAAGTCTAAGTGCACCTCAAATGTTTTGCTTTTTAGTTCCAATTGTACATGCACATGGCCTGTTCTGTCAGACACTGTATATTTTCAAAGTCAATACAATTCTAATAGTTTTTTATGATTATTACAATTTAGCATAATGAAACTTCTCCTTTTAGCATTATTTCTTTTATGGGTCTCAACTTCTGTTATGGCACACAAGATTTAAACTGAAGACTCAAACTAAAAGTACCTCACTTACCCTTTGGAACCAGGAACAGATTTTGCATCTGTCAGATCTTCCCCCAAATGTGGTCCATCTCCCGTGTCTGCCATCATGGCTTTCAAATATCAGCTTCAAAATGTAAGAAAACAGAAGTATTATGACAGTTCACAGAGTAACTTTAGCCTAGGAGTATTATTATTGGTAGACAACAAAATAGCATTTCTGAGTAATCCCTACATATTTTATATCTGAAAGAAGAACATGAAATATTTTTCTAAATTACTGCATTCTAAAGGAACTCCAGGAAAGATAGTCTGCAGATCCCTGTGACCAAATCACTGAAAAGGCCTACAAAAAGCAGGATAAGAGACAAACAAATAGAAAACCATCTTTAAAATATTGTAATGTCCCTACATGCATTAAAAACTGAGAACCAAAATCAAGCAATAAAGTTATCAGATATGTGTGAAGACCAACATAGAAGATTAGATTTTGGATCATAGTATTTTGAGAAAAAATAATTTCTCTGCATTCCATTTCCAATGAAGCATCACTACATCCAGTCCTAACTGGTGTATGTGAAGGCAATTACAATATAAATAACAAAACAAGAACAACATAGCTTTAAATAGGTGATGAGATAAACCCTACGCTGTGGGCTGCTATCTACTTTTATTGGAACACGGGACAATAAATTATGATGGATACCAAGCCAGAAGTCAATTTAAAAGCATTAGAGCTCCCCCACAATTACTCGGTGTGTACTCATGTGACACATTGCCACAAGTTACCTTTAACTCAAATTTCAGAAAATAATTAAGCATCATCAATTTAAATCATTAGATAGGACAAAGTAATAAGCACTTAGAAGTGCTCAGACCTCAAGAAGCAAACATGGCATTACAACAAGACAAGAATTTTACAAAAACTTACTTATCATAGAATCATAGAATCAACCAGGTTGGAAGAGACCTCAGAGATCACTGAGTCCAACCCTACTGTCATTACTAGACCATGGTACTAAGTGCCACTTCTAGTAATCTAAACGTCTTAGCAGATATATTTATGGTAAATAGGAATGTATCAATAACCAGACCAAGCAGCACAGTTTGCTGGTCAGATATGAAGAAGATACTTATTTAAGGCTTAGGTTCTTCGGTGGCAAGCTATTTGCCATCTTACATCATCATCACGTTATTATATTAAGTCTCAACTTCATAGATACTATACTCTAGATAGTACACCACAAACATCCATTTTCTGTGGCAACAATTACTGATGCATCAGAAGCACTAGTTTGGTTATGTATAGCCTTCTTTCTTTCACTAGAAGGAAAGAAGACATTTACTTACATTTGTAGTGACTTCAAGAGATCTTAAAGGTTACTCTGAATATTGGTTTTGTATCTCGGAGCACTGGTGTAATTAAGAAATCTTCTTCCTCACAAAATTATTCCAGACTTGAGAACTGTATTATGCAATGCAGCAAACAGGAAATTTCCTGAAAACCAAATTACAAAAGTATCAAATTAGCTGATATTTTAGAAAGAAAATGTCTAAACTGCATTATAGCATTACATTTTAGAAAGTTACTTTTAAGACAGCATCGTGGGGCAGGAACTAAATCTACAATGCTGAACTTGCCTGCCTAGCACCATGATCTAGCTTCATTCATCCTAACTTCAAAGCCTAATTCACTAAAAGTTCTCTAAGGGAAGAAAACCCATGCAATTGCAAGGGTAATTCAAGTACCCAAGACGGTGGCACAATGGTAGGTAGTCCAACTCTATTCTTTACCATTGGGCTGGCAGCATTAGCACTGCCAACAAAATGTAGTCTACAGTGACAACCAGCGTGCCCACCCAGCTGTAACTGAAGAGCAGAGCTTCTGATCCCCAGTAAGTGGAAAGAATAGCTTTCATTGACAAGAATACTAAAAGTTCCCCTACTCCAGCAGAGCCAGCTTCCAGGAGTTTCTGTGCCTCACGCCCCATCCCTACCACAATCATCCTTGGCTTTGGTTCCCAGCTTTCCTGGGCTCTCAGCCTGACATTTTTAAGCAACTTTATTTGTAGGAAAACATACAACTCTATTGACCCACAACTCTGATGCAACTCATGCTGCTCCTTCTTCTGGTGAAGGACTACGTGCAAATGCACAACCCAAACCCTTCATTGTGGCTGGGATTAATAGGCAAGACAAGGAAAAGGTTAACTTCCTTCCTCATTTGTTTGTCTGCCAACAGCAATAAAGAACCACACCATATAAAAAAGCACCACATCATGTACTAACTCTAGTACTGACACCAGCCTACAGCTGTACTGACAGTGGTGTAGTCACCTCAGCATGGAAATCAGCTGCTAAAACCCCAGGTGTTCATCCCAGGTATCTGGCACTGTTAAGTGCCAGCACTGCAAGTACATGAATAGTGTACACAAGCAAATATGTGCCTACATGAGCTGTGGTCATCTCCTGCCCATCATATGAGCCAGCCTGTGCTACCCACAGCTGCTTGGAGAAAGCCTCAGGTAAAGCATAGGGAAAGCTAACAACTCTCTGGCCAACAGATGAGGACTTGGAATCATTACGGAGGGTAACTGGCTCATTAGGCTGCCTGGGGTTCACATCAGGTGCTGCATTCCATTAGGGACTGGTTGTAGTAAGGTGGTGAGAATAACACTGGTGAACAGCAACAGGTTTAAGTAAGCAAACTGGAGACCTAACTGGCTGCAACCACTGAATGCTTCTACAACATAGATGTTAAAGCATACTGCAAACACCAAGAAAGATCTTCAGCATTTACATATCCTTAAATTAAGATTTATCTCCTTGACTCTTCTGCAGTCTTAAAACTCTGAAACTGCTGTCCTTGATCCGATGCCAAAGGAAAAATGAAACTGGCAAAAGTAGCTAGCAAAACCTACAGTTACAACAAACTATAGTACTTTGTTTCTGAAAAATGTAAAACACATTTTGTAACACCATATCATAAAAATATTTCTCGCTAAACCCTCTGCGAGCCTAGCTCACAGCCTACAGTTTCAATTGTTTAATGAAGGGCCAGTGCTCACTGCATTCTACTTCATCACAACTGGAGCCTAAGAGACTCTAGAGAAGCCAGAGAGATTGTCTAGAAAAACTGATTATAACACATTAAGTATTTGAAATTCTCATGCTTCATTCTCAGAATAGGATCTGTAGCTCACCTTTAATATCCATCAATTTCTGAGCATGTCACCTACACTTCCTGAAACAACAAAAGACATCCACAAGGTCTCTCTGTTGTTGCTAGGCACTCAAATGCACTTTTTAACCAGCAGCATGTTTTCTGCTCTAAAGCACTGGTTAAGGTTAACAGCAATGCTCTCTAGAGAACAGAGTTGATTCTAACAGACTACTAAGAATTGCCTCATCTCGGATTAGATAATGCAGTGATGTCATGCTCTGTCAAGCAGAATGTATGTTTCCCTGTGGAGGATGATCTCATCCTGCCAGGGATGGGGATGTGCAGAATCACGACAGTGCATTAAGAATTTAATTTTTATATGTTTTTCTGCTCCTTGATATTCTTTTCTCTGAAAGCTTAGGCAAGATGAGCTTTCAGCTGTAAGGAAACATTAAAAAAAAGTAGCTGAAATGAGCAACAGCATTTCTGCAATCTAGCAGAATATATTCTGTACGTTTTAGGAAGCCTATTTTAAATACTTTATAAAAAAACATTTTTTTTTTAAACTGAAGGAGACAGAGCGAATATAAAGATGATGCTACTATGATCTTTACACGTACTAAGCAGTAAAAAAAAGTGGTTCATAATTGTCCACATCTTTACACGTACTAAGCAGTAAAAAATAGTGGTTCATTAAAGTCCAAAGCTATGCTCAGCAAGCTACTAAAAATGACCAAAGTCTCTCTGCATAGCAATAAGAGCAAAAATATTTTTCCCTTCTATGAATGCAGTTGTTCCAATGTTTTTCTTTTGATAGAAAAATGATAATGCGACCAATCTTCAACTCCATAGATCTACTTATTCTGCCTGGACCTAGGGAAAATAAATTCACATCATCATATACCCATCCCCACTGTTATAAGAACCATCAAGCTTCTTTTTAAAGCATGATTTGTTTGAATTATGCACCAACAAGAGAAATGAATGATACAGTGACAAAAATAATACCAAAGCTTCTCAGACAGGGAAGGAAGCAAATAACTGAGTTGTCTCTCGTTACCAATTGTACCCTGAACCATGCAAACCACACAAGACAAGACAACACATGTTCAGTACATATCTGCTGCTACAAAGCAGTGATTGTGGCAGTGTTAAATACACGTCCAAAACAGACATAAGTATTGTAAAGCATGTCCTTAAAGATTAGAAAAAGGCAGTCTTCCACCTCACATGACTGCAAGAGAAAATGTCAAGCATTCAAAGAAGGTATGTCATGCACATAGCTATACACATGGTATATTGCAATACTAATGCAGACACGCAAAACCAGAATCTTCCATTCTACAATGAGCAATGCTAGACAATAATTATGGTATTAATAACATAAGGGAAGTATAAAGCTGACTGTATGAATAAACAAAACACATTTGAAGAGCACCATCACACTTTCTGCGTGACGCTACCCCCTTAGTCAATACTGCTCCTACTGATGGAAGCATGCCAAGATGTGACAGTCCTTCCCACTATTTCTGGATGTGGTTGTTGGAAAGCTCTGACAGTAGGCCAGCACACTGATCTTCCAAAAGCAAACAGACTTCTATCTAGTCAGCATTAACCTGCAAAATTAGCAACAGCTGAAATTATTCCAAGTGTAGATAAGCCTCTTAGTGATTAATTCACCTATACCTATTAACCACATCACCACTGCAACAAGCAATAACCTTATCAGGTTCCTTAAGATTAAGGGCATGGTGTGTTAGTTCGAAACTTACCATCGGGCAAGCAGGCAATTAAAGGAGAGGAACTATGAGCTAGAGGGTAAAAGACTAGATTACCAGCCCTATCCTTCAACGCATCAGGGGCCAGGACACAACACACCTCGGGCAGAGCCTTCTGCACACGGCAAAACGTGCGCGGCGGTGTGAGTGAGGCCCAGTCCCGCGCCCCCCGGGCGGGCAGGGTCGGTGCAGCAGAGATCAGCGAGTCCCCCCGGCTTCGCCCGGGCCCC